ATGGGTCGGGTGTGTCCTTCGTGGCCTACCATATCCCAGAATTCATAGCGCGGCCCAGCCAAACTCCAGTTTCCAACAATAGCGGCCGCTACTAAGTTTTAAAATTACTCATACTAATCTTTCTGGTTCACAAAATAAACTTTTAACATATTTTCAGTACCTTTGTAAACATCAAATATCTGCTCGGTTTATCAAGATATCGCATATTTGCAAAAGTGCTTTGACGTTTTCGGAGGCTTCTGCTACCCAGAAGCCTAGCTCGAAAGCCAGCCGGGAGCTCGAGGTTACTGATGCGGCCGAGAATGGCACATCATTTTCAGATCACCGCGGACTTTCGCTACTCGGGTTAAACGTAATATATAAGTCACTTAGACAACCTAAAAATGTTATTGTTGGGCTTTTTTTCAGTGTTTTGTTTGTTCGTGAGTAAATCGGTTTGGCTGAGATTAAAGTTATTTGATTAGATTAGATAAAATAAAACGTTATTAATCCCCCGACTGGGTTCCTCCTTGGTTTTTACACAGCTGACTAAACGTCAAACAGAAAACTGATTAAACAGAAGTATGAGACAGTCGAGAATTTACGCCAGTGTCCTGTTATATTTTAGATAGCAAGGAGCAGACGGCTGAGTTTATTAAACTCCACCGAGACAGCGATAACGCTAATCAGAAGGCTAGACCGTCCAATTTCACGGCCGTTTACTTCCGGCCTACCCGACCTTCTGAGGACCCGGCCCACGTAGACCGCGAAGGCCGGGTCCTCAGGAGGATGCAGCCCATGAATTTGGACATGGCCTCTGTAATTAGGCGCCATTCTTCTTATTTTACGGCGCTGTTGCTCAATCGGGGGACGCTCTCTGTTGAGGAGAAAAGCATGAATTTCTTTGTATACGGATTATCCATTGTTTAAATGTCCCGGGCAGTCGAAAAGGAGGCAGAGCTGTTGAGAAATGCTAGGAGCTAACTGGGCGCTAACCGCATCATTCAAATATATTGAATGTCGCAATGTTGGCAAAGAGAGGAAGTGACGTAAGATTTGCGCATGCGGGGTACCGATCGGGTTTCCGGTACGGATCGGGTAGTGACACTCACTCACTCACCCCCTCCCTCCTGGCTCACAGCTTCTTATTCTTCTTGGTTGGCAACCAATGTTAAGGCGCATTACCGCCCCCTGGCGCACATTTCAGTGGACATTTAGATGAGAAAATATATATTTAACACATTTAAGGAGAATACTAATAAAAATAATAAACAAAATAAATGTTTATTAAGCAATTTTGATAGGAAATTGCTTAATTTTAGAAATGTTTTTGCTCTTTTTTGCTCTATAAATAGTTGGGGTTTTTTTTTTTTTTTAGAATCATTCATCTTAGCAGTAGGATATACATGAAAAGAGAAACAAATTAAGTTTGAGTGAAAATGTACTTTTTTTTTTAACTCTCTGGTCAACTGACTCAGTGAATCAAATGACTCAAAATATCCGATTCACTTTGGTGAGTGACTCATTAAAACTCGATTCAGTAAAAAGAATCAAATTTACCATCACTACTGTAGTGTAGTTCACACCTGAACATAGTCCTTGTTCTAAGCCAGGCTCTTCCTTCCTGGCTCTGCTCTTCTCATTGAATCAAAGTAAGAAACTCCACGAGGACAGACTGCAGTTTTCTCATCTTTGCTCAGATCCAAAATCCAAACAAATCAAATCCACTGCAGGCTGTAACTGTCAGATTAACAGAATCCAGACTGTCCTTTAAACTCTGAAAACCTTGACAAATGATCACAAGTCATTATGTTGTTATCATGTTTTGCTGGGCGACCTTTAGAGTGAATTGTTGTTGTTTTTTTCACAACAGTCCTCTCACATTCAAACTCTAAGCTTAATTCTATGAGTCAGGCCAAGCACAAGCCATGTTTGTACAGTCCTTGCCTTCCACTTTGACCTAACAGTTTTTGCATGAAATGTAACTAGTGTTACATTTCAGACAGACAGAGTCAGGAAATCATTGTTTTAAATCCCTGAATTACAAAAGGGATCAACATTCTTTCCCAGTTCAGCTACTAAAGTTTCAACAAATCTGTTCTTTATCAATTATAATAAATTATTTGTAGACGTTTTGTTATCTGCAGCAACAACCTGATGTTTTTATGCTGTAAATGTTCTCTTTGAATAGTAAAAAAAATCCATATGTGATTTATTTTGCCTGCATTTTGCGTTTTACCGTGCAGACAGTGATCCTGCAGAGACATTAGTTATGGATGACATCGTCACTAAAGAGAAGCTTACAGTAAAAGACGCTGCTCTTCTTTTAGATGATAAATCTGTTTTCAGACGACTGTTTCCAGCTGCTGCTCTCTAACTGGTCCACACAGCAGCTCAGACCTGACATATTCACTGTAAACACACTGGTTTATATTCTGTTTGTTCTCCTCATGATGTTACCCTCATACAACCACACTTTGATGAGTGTTCAAAGGAAACAGGAAACACTGTAAAGTCCTGTTGTGCTGCTCAGAGAGTCACGGTCATCAGGCTGGAGCAGCTGAGCCAATCCTGTGATAAGCAGCTGCTGGTTAACCAACCAGAGAAAGTGGAGTTAGATCCAGTTTACACATCTGCTCAGTGAGGTTTGTTTGAGTCCAGCTCAAATTATTGAGCTTCAGTTCAAGATTATTCATGAAGCACCAGAAAACAACAACCATCTGAAGGCTCTTTTATAAAAAAAAAACATTATAAACAGAAAATCCCTGAAAACTGCATGAAATGAGTCAACAGGTCAGAAAGTTTCTGATGAAAACAGACTTATTGTTACAGAAAGAAAACTAAACAAGATTCCTGCTCATAGAAATAAATATATTACATACAGTGTGCAATAATAAAGTAAAAAAGTGTGCAGTGCTTAAAGCTAAATATAATAAACATTAGAAGCTTCTGTGATATAAACATGAGTGTTTTATGTGTTTAAAGTGAAGCAGCAGATAGTTTGATATTAGCTCAGCAGGAGGTCGAGAGCAGGAAGTAGCAGCTACAGCTCACAGTATAAAGACAAGTTTAGTCTGATAAACTAAACTACTTATGAAGACTTCAGCTGGTGTTCATGAAGGTCGATGAGCGAGTGAGGAGCTAAAGGCTCAACTTTAACTTTGGGACAGTTTTCTACTTCTTAAAAACTATTATTATTGGTCATTCAAGATGGCGCCGTGGATGGCAGCCTTGGTACTGCGCTCTCTTGCACTTTTCTTGTTTCTGTTTATTATGTACATTCTGTAGTATTCATTCCACCTCATTTCATTTCTGTATTTTATGTATATAAGTTTAGATGAGTTATTTATAGTTGGTTTACACAGCTTTGTGTATGCATGTGTAGTGTATATATAGACGCACATAGTGTGTGTGTGTGTGTGCGTGCGTGCGTGCGTGTGTGTGTGTGTGTGTGTGATTTACATTGCTGTGCTTGAGAGCCACCATCTACCAGAACCAAATTCCTTGTATGTGTCTGCATACTTGGCCAATAAACACTATTCTGATTCTGATTCTGATTATTAAAACTATTATTATAACCTGAATGCTCAGTGTCACCTTGGAGAAGCTGGAAGAGAAGCAAGAGACTCAGATGAGGAAAAAAAGAAGCTCTGACACATTTCAAACAGGCTGCTGTTCAGCTCGAGGAGGCTGGTAGGAATCCTTATTCTGTTGTTGTTTATGTTTTCTGTAGATCAAAAAAACAACAACAGCAGCAACAAGAAGCACAGCGCAAATAGACAGACCGACTATCAGTCCAACAGATCCATCCTCCTTCCCTCCATCCTCCTTCCCTCCATCCTCTGTGTCTCCTCCTGTCTGACCTGCAGGTGAGAAACAGGTGTGAGGTGTCAGCTGTCAGGTAGGTGATGAGTGAAGAACAGAACAGAATCCATTTCCTCTTCAAACTGCTGTCAGACATTATCTACTGCACTCTGATCACATCACTCAGACCAGCTGCTTTCTACAAAGTCTCATCAACAACATCTTTACAAACAAATATCAACAACCAGGAAGCAGCTTCACCTCTGATCACACACACACTCAACTCTACTCACTCACCTGGAGGAACAACAACACTCAGGTGGATGATGCTGATGGGAGGAATCTTTGACAGGGCTCTCTTCCTGCGCACAGTTCCTCTGTTGAACACACGACATTCGTATTTTCCACTATCAGCACTCGTTGCATTATTCAGAATCAAAGACACGTCTCCATCCTTCATCTGTCTGTCCTGCAGATCCACCCGGTTCTTAAAAGATGGATGCTGGTGATCTGGAAGGAACTGTCCACCCTTGTAAACAGCAACATGTTCTGGCTCCAGATCAGCTCTGCTCCACTGTACAAGTGTGAAGTTGTTGTTTGGAGCTCGACATGTCATCGTGGCGTTCTGTCCAGACTGACCCGTGATGGTTTTCTGGTCTGAAAGATGTAACAACAGAGCAGAGAGGAAGCGGTCACTTCAACATCAGCCAATCAGAGTGGGGAACAGACACAACTGCTCTCTGGTTTATGCTGGTTGAATCACACAAACGTGACCATAGACCTGTTAAAATCTGTTAAGGAATCACAGAATTCAGACGAACAACAAAGCGATAAATTCTTGATAAAGAACAAAGTCTAAACATATCTCAGTGCAAACAGAACAACTTGTGTTTAGCTCCCAGTGTTAGAAATCAAACAAAAACACAATTTGAAAGGACTTGAGAAAAATAATATTTTTGCAAACACCTTTGAACAGCTGCATATTTGTTGTTTTTGTTCTAATGCCAACATTCAATTCAACCAACATTCGTCGGTTTTTGCTCCTGATTTCACCATCAGCTCTTCATCTGCTACACTGCTCCCTCTGAGAAATCAGTATCAGATAGATGCAGGTGACGGGGCTGACTAAATGATGCAATGAGCTCCCAGTTCAGACATCAGGCCCACGACTCCGTGCCAACCTGGGCGCGCTGTAGTATGTACCATACTGTACACTGCCCCCTATCGGTCATCGGCTCGCTCTGCAGGCACACAGGGAACGCGCTTCCGCTGCAGTCTTTGTGACCTCGCTACACAGTTGCTCTCCGTGAGAAGAGAAGCTGTTTGTGTTATTAACGTTTGTGTTATCGTTCGTGGACGGTGGAAAACAGCTTTGCTAGGAGCTTTAAACAATGATGCCCTTTACTCGAAATCGACGTGGGCTTAACTTTGGATATTGGAGCCTGTTTTTAATCGTGACGTCGACAAAAACGAAGCTTATCAGCAGCTTTCACCGTCTTCATGTTTGCTGACGTGTGGGATCAGGCACAAAGGAGCTGCTAGTATGTTTTTAGAGCCTCTGAATGTCGGGGTAAGTAAAACACAGACACGCAGAGTCATAAGAAGGTCGTGTTTCACGTCTGGTTGTAGCGCTGAAACATGGCTGCTGCTCTGGTTGAGCGTTGTGCCATTTATCACCGACGGAGCGTTCCCCAGCGTCGGGAGCGCTCACTGGTCAGGATCCAGGTTACTCCGCTTTCTTTACAACCAGCTAGTCAAGTAGTGATGTTTTAATTTGGTGACAAAGTTACAGTTGGATGTCGTTACATTGCCATAAAGTGAAACCTCCTAGAAAAAGAAGTTATAGTTTTAGGAAGTCTTACATCCTTGTTGTTGGTTCAGAGGTTGTTTCAGCAAATTGCTGCGGAAATGTTAAAGTTTGAGTGCATTCTCAAGTGAGGGATGACTTCTTATTGGAACAGGCGGAACGAAGCCCAAATATCAACAGGACCTATTTTCTTTTGTCCCTGACCAGGAGCGGATCTAGAGAAATTTTCTTAGGGTGGCAAAGAAATCAAATGTGCGGCAAAATCAAAGTCTTTTTTTTCAAACACAAAGGGATGGGTTACATATGGTTAAAATGATTCAATATACATGCTATTCATATAAATATAGTCTACAACTTAATTATTTTCTGCAGTCCACGTAACTATACAGTTTAGATAAACACGTGAAATTTTGGGTTTATGTACCGTGTAGTCCGTATAATGAATAAATCTGTAGCCCAATAAATATAAAATCCAGAAAGCTTAACAACATGGGGCGATTTTTCCTTCCTGACTGCTTTGGAGAACAAGCTCGATGACCTAAGAGCAAGAGTCACCTTCCAACGTGACATGAGGGACAGCGACATTGTGTGTTTCACGGAGACATGGCTGACCCCACCGTGCCGGACCAGGCCGTGGCGTGTCTAGAAAATTTTTGTTGGGGGGCCAGGTAGGGGCACAGATTTGGAGAAGGGTGGCAGATGTAATTGGCAGATAATGTTTAAAAAAATTATACCAACCATTAACCATAATTCAATAATCCTGTAAACCTAATAACCGAATGCGCTTTTAACTCTTATTAGAATGAGATTTTAACCACTACAGTGCAAAGTTTTTAGATACTGCATTGATAAAGTACAAGAGATACAATCAGTGCTTTGTCAGTGTTTACTCAGCATTCAAGGACAGCAATATTTGCATAGCATTTTTACTGACATGTAGTGCACATATGTTTTGGGCAAAAACATTTTTGAATATTAAAATACGAACATTTGTAACAAACAATTGACAAATTAGTCAATGCCAATGTAAAACTTTATCTGCCTAATAAAAAAAAGAAGATAATCTTCTCACAAACTGGTGATTTTGAAACAGGAAAAAAGTGGGGAAACAACTGAAAAGACTAACATTTGAATGAAACCTGAAAGCAAGTAAATACTTTCTCTGCTGCCTTATGGTAAACTTTGGTAATATTGATCAAGAACAACACTGGCTGATGATGAAATACAGTCAACTGGCATGGTGACACTGCCAGTATTAACCTGCAGGACTGGACTGGGACAGAAAATCGGGCATTTTGACTAGAGACCGGCCCACCAGGTATTAAAGCCATAAAGACTTTGAATGAAAACAAATGCTGTTGTGACAGTGATGTACACAGTCTTGTTGGTATATGTATGATTTCTATACATTTATGTCAGATAAAAACTTTGGTTGTAAGATTTAGATAATTATTTAATAAAAGCGAGATATTTTAAATGAGAATAAGAAAGAAAAGTATTTCTTTTTGCCCCCTCTCCCTGTTAATGCCCTACCTGCCCCCTGGCAACACTTTGCTAGATCCACACCTGCACAGTTACCAGCTGTCAGCTACATAAAAAAGGATCCTGGTGTTATTTGTCTCTCAGAAACAGTTCATAACTTCAACTCATTCATGTCACCTAAAAGGTAAACCTGTTTCTCCATCACCTGTTCAGCTCTGATGATTCAGTAAGGACATCTCCTGGTTTCATCTTCATGTTTCCCTCTCACCACATATCCAAACTGACATCATGACCAGCAGCTTTACAGCTGTGGCTCCAGCAAACATCAGCTGATACTAGAAATTAATATTAAATACATTCTAACAACAGCTGATCAAGTTTAAACGTGCGGCTGTTGTTTAGCGCGACATCTGCTGGTTTCCTCTTTCTGGCGCAAAGTGGGCGATAAATAAACAAGAGAGACGATCAGCTGATCATTGATGAGTTTCATGATTGAAGTAGCAACAGGAGAGGGAGGGTGAGAGAATGAGAGAAGAAGAGGCAGCTGTGCAGCGTAAAGACAGAATAACTCTTTACGTAAAGACAGAATAACGCTGTAGTGGCTATATTCATTTCTTGCTCTTATATTCAATATAACCACACTACGGACGCACAAGCGCCTGTTTTTATGCGTCGTCGTTAGCAACAACAACTGTAAAACCATCGTGTGTCCGCTTGTTTATGTTCCACATAAACCTTTCACAATAAAGCTCAAGATCCTGTTGAGACTTTTCAAAATAAACTGAATCACGTGAAAGAGTATGCAGTGTTTACGGATGAGAAGCAAAACAGCTACAACTTATGTCTAAAAATGTATCGTTTCATCGGTTAAAACACTCGACTCCAGGTACATGACGTGCAGCTGGAAACACTTCAAGCAAGTCGAGCTGCCCGAGATTCACAGAATTTACAGAAAATGTTACATTTTTGTGATTTATATCGTTATCGGACGATAGATGTTTTATATCAGGATATGAGATTTTGGTCATATCGCACAGCCCTAGTAAGGATAGAAAAGGATGATAATACATAAATACAATAGTACACAGAATAAATGCACTGCTCCAAAAACAAAGGGAAAACTTACACAACACAATGTAACTCCAAGCCAATCACACTTCTGTGAAATCAAACTGTCCACTTAGGAAGCAACACTGATTGACAATCAATGCCACACACTGTTGGATTAGACAACAGGTGGGAATTATTAGCAAGACATCCCAATAAAGGAGTGTTTCTGCAGGTGGTGACCACAGACCTTCTCTGTGCTGATGCTTTCTGGCTCATGTTTTGGTCACTTTTCAATGCTGGCTGTGATTTCACTCTAGTGATAGATTGAGACAAAGTCTACAATCCACACAAGTGGCTCAGGTAGTGCAGCTCATCCAGGATCACATCAATGTGAGCTGTGGCAGGAAGGTTTGCTGTGTGTCAGTGTAGTGTCCAGAGCATGGAGGCGCTACCAGGAGACAGGCCGGTACATCAGAAGGCCGTAGGAGGGCAACAACCCAGCAGCAGGACCGCTGCCTTCACCTTTGTGGAAGGAGGAACAGGAAGAGCACTGCTAGAGCAAAATGACCTCCAGCAGGCCACAAATGTACACGTGTCTGCTCAAATGGTTACAAACAGACTCCAAGAGGGTGGCATGAGGGCCCGACGTCCACAGGTGGAGGTTGTGTTTACAGCCCAGCACCGTGCAGGACGTTTGGCATTTGCCAGAGAACACCGAGATGGCAAGTTTGCCCCTGGCAATGAAAGCAGAATCACACTGAGCACATGTGACAGATGTGACAGAGTCTGGACACAGCGTGGAGAACCTTCTGCTGCCTCCAACATCCTCCAGCATGATGGTTTGGCAGTGGGTCAGTTATGGTGTGGGGTGGCATTTCTTTTGGGGGGGGGGCTGCACAGCCCTCCATGTGTTCATCAGAGGTAGCCTGACTGCCATTAGGTACTAAGATGAAATCCTCAGACCCCCCTGTGAGATCATATGTTGGTGCGGGCAGCTCTAGTTTCCTCCTAATGCAAGACAATGCTGAACCTCATGTGGCTGCAGTGTGTCAGCATTTCCTGCAGGACGAAGGCATTGATGCTGTGGACTGGTCCAGCTGTTCCCCAGACCTGATTCAACCCAGCACATCTGGGACGTCATGTCTCGCTCCGTCCACCAACTGCACCACAGACTGTCCAGGAGTTGGCAGATGCTTCAGTCCACGTCTGAGAGGAGGTCCATCAGGAGACCATCCACCACCTCATCAGGAGCATGTCCAGGTGTTGTAGGTCATACAGACACGTGGAGGCCACACACACTGTCGAGCTTCACTTTGACTTGTTGTAAGGACATTACTGTAGAGTGTTTTTCCTCTTTGAGTGTGACTCCAAATCCAGACCTCCATGGGTTGCTACATTGGATTTCCACTCATTCAACTATCTAAAGTATTTAATGAGAATATTTCATTCATTCAGATCTGGGATTCTTATTTTTGAGTTCCCTTTATTTTGAGCAGTGTGCAACACAGAGTCAACAGTGCAAGTGTTGGAAATGTCAGTCGTCTCAGGAAGGAGTGTGTACTATATTACTCTTTAGGACATTAGTCCTTCGCTACACCAACGAGTCCTCAGCAGCTGTTTATTTATTGATGGTATGACTTATTTTATTACAACACTGGTAGAATAAACAGTTTTTACTGAATAAAGTTACAAGTTTAAGAGTCAGTAACTCACTTTAAATATTGTTTGTATTTGATATTGATTGAGCCTCGTCTTCATATTTGCTGCAGCCATGATTGTGACCCTTCTGTTATAATCCTGACTTCAATAATATGAAAATTATTTAAACATTATATTTAGAACAATGTAAATGTGTGAAATGAAGAATACATTGAAATGATATAAATAATGTAACGTCAAAGATGAATTATTGCTATAGAAGATTTAATACTTAACTGGTCGCTTCATGAAGGCTGAATATGAAATATTTGCTCTGTAGGACATAACATAGCATCTATAACACTTTCTAACAAACAAACATATTCTAATAATAAACTAAACAAAGGAATTCACTTTCACTCGTTCATCAGTAAAGTCAGAGGTTGAGCTGGAGCTCGTGTCCCGTCACAGCCGTCGCTCACACCAGATGTGAGAGTAGTGCGTTTGTTCGGTGCAGCATAACAAACTGGCTAATTAAAGTCTATATTTACACTTTTTATTTGAATATTTTATTTAATTCTATATGAGTAACAATAACAAAGTGAGCTGCACTGAAAACAGGTGAGCGTCTCAGTGTTCACAGTAATATTCACAGGAAATCTTAACACTTGTTAGACTTTTTAAGCCATGAGGAGGTTTTGCTAAACTCAGAATCTCCTCTAAGCTGCACTCTGACAACAGTCCAGCTCCATCAATGATCCCATTGTAGTTCTTATTAGTTACATGCTGTTTATAGTGAGTGGGCTTCTTTGCATGCTGCTCAGTGTCTTTGTCCCTTTGATGGGGTGTTGTTGTCACCCTGCTGGGTCCATAGGAGCCTCTACCAGGAGGCTGAGGGGCAGCGTTGGAGGTCATCAGTGTTTTTAGCCTGAAGTTAGCAGAGAGGCTAAACTTGACTCTTTGTTGCATTATAGAGTCAGAAGTTTAAATAGTGTTTAACAGGAGAGGCTAAAATGGTTTAAAAGATGAACTCATTAAAAAAACACTAACAAATCTTCATGTTTCAAATACTGAGAAGCTTCAACAACAAATATGTGTTCAAGCCAGCATGATGTTTGCTCCTGTAACTGATTGTTTTTCCATCTTGTTCTCTGAATATGTTACCAAAGGCTCCATAACTAATGTCATTCATTTTGTTTCTTATCATTGAAACTGTTGTAGAAAATCCACTTTGTTAAGAAAACAGAGAAGCGACGTCTTTATATGAGACTTCAGAAAAATGTTGTACAGGACAAACTGAACAACATCAGAGCGACATCACGACTTCCTGTAACTTTTCTCTGTCCAGCTAAACATGAGTACCTTCCATTTTCTCCTGCAGAGGATTCTGGGTAAAGTCAATCGTGCACTGACGTCCTGTGTGTGTGTTTTATTGTGCAGATGCAGCTGCAGTCGGCTCAGCAGTGAGAACTGAAGACGTCAGTCAAAGAGAAGGAAAAACAGTCAGAGCTGAGAGGTACAGCTGCTCTTCTTTTAGTACAAACACCATAAATCTGTTGCTCACAATCAAATTTTTCCTTTACTTTTAAGTTTGTGTCACTTTTCAAACCATCGTTACGAGTGCTTCCCAGAGACGATGAGTAAAATATGAATCAAACTACGGCCACACAGACTCACAGTGTCATGTGGTGAATAACTTCCAACAGCTGGATGAATAAGATGAGTTAAAGTTTATATATTAGTCTTTAACAAGAATTTAAAAGACGACACTGATGAGGCGAGCCAGATTTCTTCAGGCAGGTCGTCCCAGGATCGAGGAGTCCTCACAGCAAACATTCAGTCGTCTTTAAGTGTGAGCTGGGAACAGTGAACGGGTTTGTGGCTGCAGCATCTCAGGATGTACACACTGACTGGGACACAAGCACCAGTTCCACTAAATATTCTGGTGCCAGTAACCTGTTAAGATGGAGCAATTTGATGTTATTTAATCAGTTTATTTTTCATCCTGCAGTTAAAATGTATCAAAACAAGATTGTGTGTCTCTGCAGATGCTGTGTGATCTGACACACCTGCACAAAATGTGTCAAAGTTCAATAAGTTACATTATTGTAACTGTGATGCGTTCACTGACATGTCCTGATGCATTGCTGTATCTAAAGAGAACAGAGAGGCTCTGCTTTGTGCTTATATTCTCCTCCTGTGTGTTTGTGTGTGCAGAGTTTCTACCAGAGCCAAATGTCATCTACTCCTCACTGAAGTCGTCCACCAGTCCAACCACTGGGATCCAGCTGCTGCTCTCTAACTGGTCCACACAGCAGCTCAGACCTGACACATTCACTGTAAACACACTGGTTTATATTCTGTTTGTTCTCCTCATGAAGGAAACCTCAGAAGATCTGAAATGTGAGTGTGTGTCTGCCCCTCATTGGTTGTTTCTGTCTGATGGAAACATGAATTCTTGTGGCTAACAAACACACCTGTCTGAGATAACAAAGAACAAACATGAGTCGACTTCAGCCACAAAGTAAAACCTGCAGGAACGTTTGGTCAGTTTTTGTCTCAGGAGTCATAAAGAGAACATCTGTAACATGTGTCCTCATTCAGCCTGAGAATCCTGGAGACTCAGACGATCATTTTAACCTCTGCTTTATAACTAAAGTGCTCAGCAGCAAGTTTTCATGAAGTCAGACTGAAGTGAAAGAAGGACTCAGACAAAATCTCTTTAATGTGTTTATTTAAAGTTCATAGAGGAATGAATCACTGTTTATGTGATGTTTGATGTTACAGCTGTCTGTGTCACTGTGAGATATGAATGAATTTACATTTCTCTATTTTAACAGGTTCAAATGTGGTTTGTTTTATGATGGAGATACTTTACTTCATTAATAAACGTCCTTCATCTGCAATGTGTCTTTTTGAGTGAAATTGTTTTCAGCAGACACGTGTTAATGTTAGCGCGCCCTCCAGGGGAGTTGGACTGTGCTTCTGTTTCTCTGTGCATACTCAGTACTTATTCTTCACTGACCCACAGATTTGAAATCAGGTTGTTGTTCACATACAAACATTTGTTTTTTTTCTCCAAGTTTTATTCTTTAATAAGAAACTTAACGTGAGTTTTCAATTTGATCCAGCCAAGATGAAGTGGTCTGTGCTGCCATCTACCCACATTAAAGTGCAACAACAGGCTGCCCACCTCTGAGTCTGCAGCACTGAAAACTTAATGTCTACACTTCACACACATCACACAGGATCAGGAGTGCTCAGCTCTTTACAAGAAAATCTCTGTCACACACTGAACACCACAAAAATATACAAACAAGTTCACAAGTTTTATTTCATTACAATCATATACACTCACTGGCCACATTATTAGGTACACCTTCCTAGTACTGAATTTGGTCTTTTTTTTCTTTAACTTTCAGAGCTGCTATAATTCTTCACAGCAGATTCAACAAAGTGCTGCAAACATTCCTCTGATGTTTTGTACTGAACTTCAGCACCAATGAACCCACAGAAAAAGTAATTGTACAGTCATCATCCTCTCAGAGTGCAGACGGCTTTGACTCTCAGTTACTCTCTCACACCTCAGTGCTCTGTGGATGAGGTCAGCGCTCAGCCTACAAATATGTACAGTACAGACTTTAAATACAGAAGTCCTGTTTCTCATCCATCAGTCATAACATCATCGTATAATCCACACTGATGTCTATATCACAGCCAATGTGGGCCACAAAAACAAAAGATGAAATTCTGAGGCCACATCTGGAGCTCACGGGGTGGAAGCAGCTTTCTGATACCTGAGAAACTTTCCTCATGTCTCTGTCTGCTTTTAGATGAAGTCCATCTACACTTACAAAGACTGTGAAACACTGAAACACAGAAGAACATTTAAACTGAGTTTGACCCGCATGTTTAATGTCAAACAGACTTTCTGAGTTACTGATTCCCACACACAGTGGGGCAAAAAAGTATTTAGTCAGCCACAGATTGTGCAAGTTCCCCCACTTAAAATGATGACAGAGGTCAGTAATTTGCACCAGAGGTACACACTTCAGGAACCAACCAAACCAAAGTTTCTTTGCTTTACATAAATCTCCAACCAAAACTTATCAGATGGTGTGGAGCTGTTACCATCTGGGTAATGAAATGTCACTCAAACAGCTTCTGATATTAAACTAAAATAGTCCACACAGCAGCTCCGACCTGAACACATTCAGTGTGAAACACACTGGTTTATACTCTGTTTGTTCTCCTCGTGATGTTACCCTCATACAACTATCTATCTATACGTATAAATATGTCATTTTTATAGTTAAACGTTTTTAACTAGTTTAATGTATTCGCTCTCTCTCTTGTTCCATGGTGCTTTGCTTCAGACCATTTCCTTCTTTGCTTCTTCATCAGGAGGATGAAGAGGAGGATCTTTCTTGTGTTTTTTAGAGATCACAACTGCAAAAACAAGAATGATCACAGCAAGTAACAAAACAGAAGCTACCAGTCCACCATGATGTTTTCTGCCAACTCCATCCTTCTTCCCTCCATCCTCTGTGTGTCCTCCTGTCTGACCTGCAGGTGAGAAACAGGTGTGAGGTGTCAGCTGTCAGGTAGGTGATGAGTGAAGAACAGAACAGAATCCATTTCCTCTTCAAACTGCTGTCAGACATTATCTACTGCACTCTGATCACATCACTCAGACCAGCTGCTTTCTACAAAGTCTCATCAACAACATCTTTAGAAACAAACATCAACAACCAGGAAGCAGCTTCACCTCTGATCACACACACACTCAACTCTACTCACTCACCTGGAGGAACAACATGAAGGTTGATGGTGCTGCTGATGGATGTCCATGAGAGTGTTTTTCTCACAAAGACATGACACTCGTATGTTCCAGTGTCACTGACCGTCACATCCCTCAGAATCACAGACACGTCTCCATCCTTCATCTGTCTGTCCTGCAGATCCACCCGGTTCTTAAAAGATGGATGCTGGTACTCTGGAATAGACAGATTGTCCCGGTACAAAAGAACATATTCTGACTCCAGATCAGCTCTGCTCCATTGTACTACTCTGTTGTTGTTGTTTGGAGCTCGACATGTCAGAATGACGTCGTGTCCAGACTCAGCTGTGACGTTTTTGTGGTCTGAAAAGGAAACACAGAGCAGAGAGGTTACAGATGAAAGTTTGATCTGTTCACTTCTACACCAGCCAATCAGCAAAGAGTTGTACACACTGGGTTCAGCACATTAGGCTAAATGTTCATCACACACACACAATATGAACCTGCATCTGTGAAACAAACTGTGTCCTGATTGTTCTCACATTAAGAAATGAATCAAACAAACATGTTGAGGTAGTCCGACTCGAATGTCAAGGAAGGTTGTAGGGAAGGTTGTAGGGAAGGTTGTAGGGAAGGTTGTAGCGAAGCAGACTACACAGAAATTTCAGGTTTGCAGAGGTGAGCAATTTATTTACAATGAACTCCGTTTAATGTGTAACGTAACTTAACAAAACTTTCCCCAAAAGTAACTCGATTAACAAAACCCATCAGTTCATGGACCTGGTAACACAGCTCACCTCTCCTCTGAATCTGGCTTTAAATAGGGCCATCAATTTCCCTCCAATTAGCCCAGCCTGTACCTCTCACTTAAACTGAGGGATCTAAAACTCTACACAGATGATTAAAAAGACACAAAACCTCCTCACACTTCTAATTGACACATTTACGTAACTAAATGGCTCCGTTTACATAAACAAGATTCAACAAACCCCTTCAGAACTTGAAACAAACAAAATGAAGCATTTCTATGGAAAAAGAAACCCCTCCGCTTGATGTCACATCAGCAGGACTTAAAACAACAAAATGCTAGGCAGGCGTTTCCCACCTGCACACCAGTTGGTGGCGATAATGCACCATTTGCACCAACCGGCAATAAACCCTATACAGAAGAAGGCGGCGTTTCCCACACGAAGACTGGAAAGAAACAACAAAGTATGAACAAATGACTTAATCTGTGATGAAATAAAATATAAAGAAACATGTAACTGGGTATTTGTCTCAATTTGCAGAATGTTTGTTTTGCCGGCAACAGACAAACCCGGGATAGTGAGTGCAGCAATGTTACTCAACAAATGGCAAATCAAAGCAAATAAATAGAAACAGAGAAACGTGCAAAAAAAAAAAAAAAAAAGGTCAACTCACATGGGACAAAGGGAGAGCATTGCAACTGCTCATCCACTTTGTTACAGCACCTAATAAAATATATGACATATTTGTGAAATTTCATGTGTTATTAGCCTTTATCTGTGTGCACAAACTTACTAAAATGCTCTCAAGGTGATGATGAGCTGTCATGTCAGGCATATGAAACAAACATACACATACCTGCATATACTGTGCCTTGAAAAGGTTTTCATACCCCTTGAACTTTTACACATTTTGTCGCCTTACAACCACAAACTCAAATGTTTTCACTGAGTTTTTCTGTGACAGACCAACACAAAGTAGCACAAACTTGTAAAGTGGTACAAAAATGATACATGGTCTTTAAAAAATAAACAAATAAAAACTCTGAGAAGAACTTTTAATCAATGAATCAATAATAAACCTTTACAGCAGTTTGTCCATGTTTATCTGACACCGCTTTAAAGTTAATACAGTAATAAAATCTCTTCTCTTCACAGCTTCATTATACAAACTGTTATGTAAACGTGTGTGAGTCTAAACACTAACATCCACTTTCTAACACGACAGAAGAGGTTTGGTGACAGCTGAGACCTGCGTCCTCTGTGAGCAGCTGAAACTAAAGCAGCTCCAACATCTAACAGCGGGTAAGAAATAGATCGATAGGATTTAAAATAAAACTCACCTGCACAGGTAAAGCCCACGAGGGAGACAGACAGTAAAGTCCAGCAGAGCCACGGAGATGTTACAGCAAACATGTTTCATTAGGCACATTCAAAGTGCACGAGTGAATTAATGTGGGAGAGTGGAGCCGGCTGTTTTTGTTTTTTTTTTCCTTTTTTCATGCTTCACGTCCGCGCTTGTTATTGGATAAGCCTGCTGTCAATTATTCACTGTTTCGCTAACACTGGCTGTGCCTCCCCGGTAGACGAGTGAGTCCTCCCAAAGGCGGAGTCACTCCCAGAGGCTCTGGTGTCAAACTAACTTTAGTGAAGTGAAACGCAGCTAGAGGTTCCACACATATCCACTGTACAGTTGTGACTCACGGCTTCAGGTTTCCTTAAAGTGCCCGCTACAGCATTGTTTGATAGACATGAAGAAAATCTTTCTTTTATGTGAATTTAAGATTAGCAAGTAAACAACAGTTAGCTAATAAACTTCATGACATCACACTTTAATAACATAATGAAAATCTAATATGTCAACAGTGAAATTTATCTCACTGCTATTTATTTATTTAAATCAAATTTTACAGCAGTGAAATTTAACTCTGTTTGAAATGCTGATCTTCAGGAAACATTAAAGGTGCTTTTATTTCTGTTTTCTATATTCAAATGTTGTTCTTTTAATATACTGGCACCACTACATTTATCTGAAAGCTGACTTATAAGAGTAAACTTTCAAGCTGTGATTAATTGAATGAAGACTGGACCGATATATGAAATATTCCCTTATTGTGAATCATTCCATATCATAACTGTTTGAACTCAGATTGAAAATAGACTTAAAAAGGCTGATTGTTGTAAATGAGTCTGACGGGTCACATTTACACAGCACGACTGTTGAAACTGAAAATCCTCATTCTCTCACCAGCAATCATTTCGGCACTCAGCAGCTTCTTGTTTGAAAATTATTTTAAAAGTTAGATTTGCAGAGATTCTTCTTGAACGTCACCTATAAAACACTCAGGATCCCTGTAGTTATATTTTTGTTTAATTTGACATTTATACTTGTATTTCTTTTTGTATTTAATTTCATAAATGAAGCTGCATGTGAGGCACGACCCCTAGTGCCAACAGTGAACGCATCACTCTTTCACTCTCTCTCTAACAGCAGCTCTAGTTCACTCTGAATAGGGTGATGACATCATTGCTGTAACGAGTTTGTCGATCTGAAGCTTTTGTATTTGCTTCAGGGAAGCTTATCACTGTGGTCAGCATGTGTTACATGAACGGAGTGCTCAGTCACAGCTTGTATGAGTCGTACATGCTGTCTGACATTTGAAGACTTTTCCTAAAGTGACCAAAATGACAGATTTACACATTTATATCGTTCTACAGATGTTCCAGATGTTTACACATTGAAGCTGTTCCTGGTCACTTTTACCTGAATCTGTTCAGATGTTACATCTCAAATCAATGAGACAATGTTAGTTTTAGGGAAAACTGAGGTGACAGAGGTCAACTGAGAACCTGAGGTTGTCATGGGAACGGTCTTTGAAAATCATGGGAAAGTCTCTAAACAGTGAAACAGCAGAGGTCACACAGAGGTCATACAGAGGTCAGAGCATGTTTGGAGAGGTGGTGCTTTAGCACAGACCCAGTTTCTGTCCCCTCAGAGCAAAAAGGTTGCTGATTCAAATCCTGCTGGGCTCTTTGTGTGGAGTTTACACTCAGCTCCTCCAGAGTGGATTTCCTCCATCTCTGCTGTGTACATCCCACCCTGCACTAATGCCAGTACTAATCAGCTGCTGTATTCTCTCTAAAGGCCACCAGATGGCGATAGATGTGGTTGTAAGAAGACACTTTACTGCTGAGTTCATGGACTCAGTCACTTGTTTTCAGTCATATTGAATAAAAGATTATTTTGAAAATACTTGTATGTTTAAAAATGGAGGAATACCTGAGTGTTATTGTTGAAGTCAGAGTCTCCTTCACCAAAGAAGTGCGACCATGGAGACCAAGGTTTGGAAAGGCAAATTGAGTCAGATGGTTCATGGAGGGTAAAAGTACCTCCTCTCACTTCTGCAGACACAGTCAAGTCCAAATTTGTTGCCTTTTTTCTGTGCTTCACGATTTTTGTGATTCTTAGTTTAAAAGTGACTTTTTCTTTTACTTTTACTTTTTCTTGTAACCGGAAGGTTGCCGGTTCGATCCCCCTGCTCTCGCTATCCTGGTCGTTGTGTCCTTGGGCAAGACACTACCCTACCACCTACTGGTGTTGGCCAGAGGGGCCAACAGTCTTATTGCACATGTGGGTTTGATCAGCTGCAAAAGTCTTTGTTGAGGAATCTGACAGCAGTGGGGAGGAAAGACCTGCGAAGTCTCTCCGTCCCACACCGTGGGTGCCGCAGCCACTGAAGGAGCTGCTCAGTGCTGTCAGAGTCTCTTGCATGGGGTGGGAGATGTTGTCCAACAGGGATGACAGCTTAGCCACCATTCTCCTGTCACTCACCACCTCCACTGGGTCCAGAGGGCATCCCAGAACAGAGCTGGCCCTTCGGATCAGCCTGTTCAGTCTCTTCCTGTCCCCAGCAGAGATGCTGCCGCCCCAGCAGACCACACCATAAAAGATAGCTGAGGCCACCACAGAGTAACTGAAGGTTTTCAGGAGTGGGCCCTCCACTCCAAAAGACCTGAGTCTCCAGAGCAGGTACAGCCTGCTCTGCCCTTTCCTGTAGAGAGCGTCTGAGTTATGAGTCCAGTCCAGTTTGTTGTTCAGATGAACACCAAGGTACCTGTAGCTGTCCACAGCCTCAATGTCCATACCTTGGATGTTTAGTGGTTGCAGTGGAGGATGCTCGAGCCTCTGCCATTGCTGCACGTATTACCAGAGCCTGTTCTTTAAGAAAGAAACACTTGTGAACTTCTAAATCCTTCTTGCTTGTTGTCTCATTTGTTGTGTGCTGGTCTGTTACATTTTCTAAAACTACACTACACACAACTTTACATTCAGATTGAAAGTGTGCACACATGTAATGAAAACAAATTCCATTAAATCATTATTGTCATCTCCAATCTTTTCCTTGTGCAGTAATACAAGGAACGATTTGCTGTCAGCTCATTTTAATCTGATGTTTGAAAGTTTAGTGATGACATTCTGTCTGATGGCACTTTGTTTACAGGCAGCGTTTTAATCACTATTTTAAAGACACTGTGTATGAATGTAACAGCTCAGTGCTGTCTGACAGCATTAGCATTGTTAGTTACCTTAAACAGGCTGAATCCACCGCTGCACTGTGAGGATAAAGACTCTGTGTCGCTCTCAGAAAACCGACATGCCACTAAACAGAGGAAATTCCCTTCACCAACTCAAATCAGGGTGGAGTCCACAGTTGTGCTGCAGCTGTAGTGCTCACACTTGAACATAGTCCTTGTTCTAAGCCAGGCTCCTCCTTCCTGCTTCTCCTCAGCTCCCAATCAACCAATCCTGTGATAAGCAGCTGCTGGTTAACCAACCAGAGAAAGTGGAGTTAGATCCAGTTTACACATCTGCTCAGTGAGGTTGGTTTGAGTCCAGCTCAAATTATTCAGCTTCAGTTCAAGATTATTCATGAAGCACCAGAAAACAACAACAACCATCTGAAGGCTCGTTTATAATAAAAACAAACATTATAAACAGAAAATCCCTGAAAACTGCATGAAATGAGTCAACAGGTCAGAAAGTTTCTGATGAAAACAGATTTATTGTTACAGAAAGAAAACGAAACAAGATTCCTGCTCATAGAAATAAATATATTACATACAGTGTGCAATAATAAAGTAAAAAAGTGTGCAGTGCTTAAAGCTAAATATAATAAACATTAGAAGCTTCTGTGATATAAACATGAGTGTTTTATGTGTTTAAAGTGAAGCAGCAGGTAGTTTGATATTAGCTCAGCAGGAGGTCGAGAGCAGGAAGTAGCAGCTACAGCTCACAGTATAAAGACAAGTTTAGTCTGATAAACTAAACTACTTATGAAGACTTCAGCTGGTGTTCATGAAGGTCGATGAGCGAGTGAGGAGCTAAAGGCTCAACTTTAACTTTGGGACAGTTTTCTACTTCTTAAAAACTCTATAATGGACGTTAAACATGAAATATGAAAATGTTTGTTGATGTTTTACACCAAAGAAAAAGAAAATACAAAAATTCATGAAAATCTTATTTTGGCACTTCTTGAAGGCACAGTGGTCTGTCTGTCTGCTCCTGTTTCACTTATAATAAATAATTTAAATTTCCTGAAGCACAAAAAAATCTGTTTGGAATAAATAAATGTTTAGTCTAATTTCAGATACTTAACATCAAACCTTGGATGTCATGGAAATTAATTTCAGGACATTTTCAAATGTCTTTACCCTGAATGCTCAGTGTCACCTTGGAGAAGCTGGAAGAGAAGCAAGAGACTCAGGTGAGGAAAAAAAGAAGCTCTAACACATTTCAAACAGGCTGCTGTTCAGGAGGAGGCTGGTAGGAATCCTTATTCTGTTGTTGTTTATGTTTTCTGTAGATCAAAAAACCAACAACAGCAGCAACAAGAAGCACAGCGCAAATAGACAGACCGACGATCAGTCCAACAGGTCCATCCTCCTTCCCTCCATCCTCTGTGTGTCCTCCTGGCTGACCTGCAGGTGAGAAACAGGTGTGAGGTGTCAGCTGTCAGGTAGGTGATGAGTGAAGAACAGAACAGAATCCATTTCCTCTTCAAACTGCTGTCAGACATTATCTACTGCACTCTGATCACATCACTCAGACCAGCTGCTTTCTACAAAGTCTCATCAACAACATCTTTAGAAACAAACATCAACAAGCAGGAAGCAGCTTCACCTCTGATCACACACACACTCAACTCTACTCACTCACCTGGAGAAACATTTAAGCTGATGGTGGTGATAGGATCAGTCTTCAGATGAGCTCTCTTCCTGCGGTTTGCTCCTCTCATGAAGACACGACACTTATATGTTCCACTATCAGCAGTCGTCACATTCTTCAGAATCAAAGACACGTCTCCATCCTTCATCTGTCTGTCCTGCAGATCCACCCGGTTCTTAAAAGATAGATGCTGGTGATCTCGAATAAACTGCTTGTCTCGGTACAAAAGAACATATTCTGGCTGCAGGTCAGCTCTGCTCCATTCTACTACTATGTTGTTATTTGGAGCTCGACATGTCAGAGTGACGTTCTTTCCAGACTCAGCTGTGATGTTTTTTGTGGCCTGAAAGAAAAACAACACAGAGCAGCAGCCAATCAGAGTGAGGCAGAGCTTATGAACTAGACGAGAGAGAGAAGTGTACACACTGGGTCCAGCACATCAGGCTACATGGCCCACCAGACAGCTTGCACACATGCACACACGCCAGTGTATTGTTCAAAATACAGAATATGAACCTGCATTTTTGTGTAAACAAGCAAACATTTTCTTAGAAAAAAAGATCGAGGGTGACATATATTTGTTGTTGTTTTATTAGCTTCCCTCTATGTGGCCAAACTCATTCAGACCATGTAACAGAAAAGTTGAGACGGGAGGCTGCAGACAGAGTTATAATCAAAGGTGTAGGAAGGAAAGTGATGTTCATCTGAGAACAGCTGAAAGAGTGGCTGATCAGTTAGTGTGAACACTGTGGGACATCAAGATGCTCTCAAGGTGATGATGAGCTTTTATTTCAGGCATATATGTGTATATATATATGACCAACAGGACTCAGAAAGTTCGGGTCAACAACTCTCTTTCAGGTCTCGATTCCACCTCCACTGGCTCCCCCCAGAGCTGTGTGCTCTCCCCCCTGCTCTTCATCCTCTACACTGATGCCTGCAGATCCACACAGGCCAACTGTCACCTGGTTAAATATGCTGACGACACAGTTCTCCTGTCACTGCTGTCAGGCCCCTCACAACACCACAGGCCCGCTCTTCAGGAGTTTGTAGAGTGGCGTGACAGCTCCAAACTTGAATTGAACGTAGGCAGAGGGATCTGGCTGCTTCAGTCACCACCACCATCCATGGGAAGCCAGTGGAGGTAGATGAGGAGTACAAATATCTGGGAACCATCTTTGACAACCTTCTGAGATTCTCTGCCAACACAGAGGAGATTCTCAGGAGGTGCCACCAACGGCTATACCTCCTTAGGAAACTCAGCTCCTTTGAAGTCAGCACAACCATCATGATGACTTTTTACTACACCTTCCTGGAAAGCATCATGACCTTCTCCATCACCTGCTGATTCCACCCCCTCAGCCTTCAGAACAGGAACAGACTGCAGCACACGGCATCAGTGTGCTCAAAAATCATTGGCCTGCCTGTCAGAATTCTGGCACAGGTTTTCAGCCAACACGCCCTTAGACAGGCAGCCAAAATCATCAACGACCCCTCTCACATTCTTCACCCCGCATTTCAATGGCTCTCCTCTGGGCGACGCCTCCGCTGTACTTCCTGCAGGACTGAGAGGAGGAGACCCACCTTTGTCTCCAAAGCCACCCTGCTTTTTAACTCCAGCCAAAGGAGCATTTCCCACACCAGAAACTACTCTCTTCTTATACTGCCGACACTTTATTCACTTTTACTCAGTTATTTATTCACCTTTCAGTCACTTTAATTTTAAACTGCGTAATTTTAAAACTGTATATTCTGTGTATTTATTATCTCACTCTCATTGCCTGTTCTTATTGTCTTTCATGCTGCTCTGTTGTATGTTAATTTCCCCTTGGAGATAAATAAAGTCTTTCTGATATGAAACAAACACACCAATATACACACACATACCTGCATATACAATGTCTTGAAAAAGTTTTCATACCCCTATAACCCTTCCACATTTTGCTGCCTTACAACCGCAAACTTAAATGAGGTTGTAAGGGAGGATGGGTAATGCAGTTATAAACTGTTTCTTTTACAGCAGACTCTTCTCTTCACAGCTTCATTATACAAACTGTTATGTAAACGTGTGTGAGTACATCTAAAAACTAACATCCACTTTCTCACACGACAGAAGAGGTTTGGTGACAGCTGAGACCTGCGTCCTCTCTGTGAGCAGCTGAAACTAAAGCAGCTCGAACATCTAACAGCGGGTAAGAAATAGATCGATATGATTTTAAAATAAAACTCACCCGCACAGGTAAAGCCCACGAGGGAGACAGACAGTAAAGTCCAGCAGAGCCACGGAGATGTTACAGCAAACATGTTTCATGACGCTAATGAAGCACACTCAGACTGCACGAACGGGTTTATGTTGGAAGACTGGAGCCAACATGTTGACACGCCTGTTATCTTGCCTTAGATTTGATAAGGCTGCTGTCAATCACTCACTAGCTCGCTGACACTGGCTGACACTTGAGGAGACCATCCCCCGGAAGTGTGGTAACTAACACTTCCGGGTTTAATTTTGATTTTGACTGTTTTGGCGGTACGCAGGTAACGGAGTTTATAAAAGTTTATTTTGTTATTAGCAGCCCCCCTTCTGCTCCTTTACGTTGGTTGCCAACCGCCGTTAAACACAAAGAAGAAGAAGCACCCCCCTATACCACAAGGTATAGTTATGATGTAAATAAGTATATGTTTAAATATTTTGGGTGAAAGATCTTTGTTTGCATTTGTTAAGTTTGGGAAGTTATTTTAGGTTGTAAACGTTTATGGTTGTGTTGTAAGATTTTAAATTGCACCGCTGTTTTTCTCTCTCTCGGCTATTACAGTGAGATTGAGGGTTTCTCGCCATTAAACCTAAAGATCAATTTGTAAAGTGTTGTTTCAAACGTATGTAATTAAAATTTTACAGCAGTGAAATTTAACTCTGTTTCAAATACTGAGCTTCGGGAAACATTAAAAGTGCTTTTATTTCCGTTTCTATATTTAAATATTGTTTTGATGCATTTTCAATCATCCAGGAAAGTAAATCTCCAAAAGTTGATTCTGTTCATCTGGACGTAGCGTTTTGTGGGAGAAACGTTTCGTCACTCATCCAAGTGACTTCTTCAGTCTCAGCTGACTGCAGGTTTCCCCGATCTTATAAACAGGACATTTGCATAATGACTGTAACCAGCTCAGTGAAGGAACAATGGGCTGGGAGGTCAGTTCCTTAATCTTACTGTACTCATGGCCATTGATCAGTGGGTTTTGGTCAGTGGTTGTTGATCAATGGTCATGAGAATTTGCATAATTAAGATTAAGGAAAATCTAAATTTGACTTTGATGTTCCTGCAGGTTCTCATCTGCCTGTTTTTGTTCCTGTTGTAACTGAACTTTGACCTCATGTGTTCATGACTCTTCACCTCTGTCTCCTCACAGGGAGAAGATGAACTGCAGGATCTCGCTGGTCTTCATCCTCACCTCGTGTGTCTCTGGTTAGTTACAGTTCACTTCATGAACTCCAAATTAAAACCACAACAACAGGTTTGTTCCAGTTCTCAGAGTGTCTGCGCCTCTCTCTCTCTGTCTCCTCAACAGGATCATTTGTAGTGAATGTGACTCAGACCTCCTGTCAGGCAGAGGAGAACCACAACATCACACTGGAGTGGACGTTCACAGTAGAAACAGGCAGATCCCCCACATATCTAAACATCTACTGTGAACTGATAACTGATGATAAACTCTCAGTTCTGTATCATGTCCACAATGGTGCTGAAGTCTCAGAGTCTCAGGATAAAAAGTTTTCAGGACGAGTTCAGGGTGACAAAGACGCCCTCAGAGAAGGACGAATCAGACTCCAGCTGTGCAAACTCAGGACTGAGGACTCTGGTCAATACAAGTGTAAAGTAAACACAGATTATGGCTTCAGCTCTGCGAGCTGCAGACTCAACATCACTGGTAAGTTTTAACAAGTCAAAACTGAACAATCACTTTTATATTTATGGTCTGTTAAACTTTTATTTGCCATGTTTATGATTTATGACTGAAAAACATGATGTGTTGTGTGATATTATTCTGTTATTATATGTTACCTTATATATGTAATCAAAGTAGTTGAAGGATGATACTGCTGTAGATCATATTATACCCTTTAATATAGAGTGTGTGATCTGTATGTAGTTTAGTTCTCATTATACTTTTGAGTTAAAAGAACATATTCACTGATTAGTTTATTAGATAAGTGTGCATCACTCTGTATCCTTGATCTGCTGTGAATGTATTACATGCTTAATTGTTGAATCATGAAGAGAAAGGTTGTAAGCAGGAGACTCTGTGTCTAAGACAGGGGAGATAGACAGACCACATTCCACACCCCCACCTTACAGAAAGCAGAGAAACAACTGCCGAGGTCATAACTTAGGCGCCGTAAGAGAGAAAGAATGTTAATGTTTGGTCTTTTACGACTAGGTGGGGGCCACTAGAGACTATAAAAAGCTGAGCAACCCGTCACCATTTTGAGACTTGCTGTGACCCTCTTCAGGCATGTCTCCCCATCATGATGGTCCTTATGCTCTTAAGTGTTGAATTGTATGGAAATAAATGATTGTTGATTGAGCATAAATACACCGAGTATTGTCCTTCCTTCAGACCAAAGATTCAAAGAATTGGGAGATTTCAACAGTTGTTCATGTCAAACATCCTGATGGTTCTTATTTTATTTCTGCACAAGTAAATATGTTAATGTCTTTTACAGCAGCTGCTGATCAACTCACATCCCAGAGACCAACTTCACCACCACAAGAAGAGAGAAAGGACTGGAAGATTATTGTAATTGGCCTGACAGCAGCAGCATTAGTCGCTCTGATTGTGTGCACTTTACTTTGTGTCGTGCTTAGAAAAGTGCCAAATTTCTGTACAGCTGTCAAATTTCATGAACTCTCAGGGACAAAGTCACTAAACCAAGATACGTCCTGCCTTTGACGTCTACTTGATCTAGTTGATACGAACTCTGTAAATGAACTGGTTCTATATGTTGCTTTCATACACTATTCAACTTACCTCATTCACACAAATTCACAAAAACATTTTTTGTATGTTTTTCTATACAAGTCCTTTTTGTATAACACGAATAGATAGAAATATATGTAGATATTAATAATGCTCTATGTTTTACAAACCCCATTTTCAAAAGCATTGGGAAACTTTCTAAAACTGTAATAAAAACTAAAATCTGTTATTTGGTCATTCACTTCAACTTTGATTTAACAAGAAAATTAACAGAAACATTTTCAGTGTTTTCAATAACAAACTCATTTCTATTTGATAAAACATTTAAAAATCTATCAACGCAGTTGGGACAGAGGTAAATTTAACACTGGGTCATTTCACCTTTTCTTTTAATTTCACATCTTAATCTTTCTAAAAGTGAAGAAACTGGTTTTTACAATTTTATAAGTAAAATTCTTTCCTGATTCTTCTCTTCATGAGGGGATGGGAGCAAATGTAGCTCCTGTTTAAGCCAAAATCAGTAGTGCCTTCACATATGTGCAAATCTCTGTGTCTCCTTGCTTTAATCCTGCTGAACGATTGTCAGGGAACAAACAGTCTCTTCATGTCTGATAAAAAGATGGCTGCTGAGTAATAAAGTGAATTCCTTTCTGCTAATTTCAAGACCCAAAGATTTAATATCTGCTCTCTAAAGATGACTTGTTGACTTTTTGTACAGTTTAATAATTGATCTTGCATCAGCCCTGTTGAAGAAAGCTCAGCAGCGCCTCCATTTCATGAGGGTTCAGAGATGGAACAGGCTGCAGACTGACCTACTAGTGTCCTTCTATCGTGCCACAATCCAGAGTGTGCTGGTGCACGCCATCCCTGTGCGGTACGCTGATTGTACAACAGCCAATAAGAAGAGACTCTAGAGGGTCATCAAAACTGCAGAGAAGGTGATCGGCTGTCCGCTCTCCTCCCTGGACTCCATTTCCAGCTCTAGATGTCTCTCCAGATCCAGGGCGATTATGAAAGAGCACCTTCATCCTAACCACCACCCATTCAACATCCTGCCCTCTGGAAAAGGGTTCAGATCCATCAGGTGCAAAACCAACAGACTAAAGAGCAGCTTCTTCCTGTGGGCTGTCAGAACAATTAATGCAAATTAAGAGTGTGAGCAGATCTCTCCCATACAATCATATGCAATCACAAGCAATATGTTGCTGCTTTCTTGCTTTTGTGCAATATTTTGTTCTTCTGTTCAATACTTCAGCAGATGTCCAATCTCCATAGGCCCCTCCATTCTTAGTTATTATTTATTGTATTTTACTACAGTGAAATACTATATATATAGTTTTTCCTTTTAGGTCTGATGATTGTCCTGTGAGCAGCTGTGGCTCAGGAGGGTCGTCTACTGATTAGATCAGGACAGCAGTTTGATTCCTGACACCTTTAATCTGCAAGGACAAGAAACGGAACTGTGAGTTGGACCTGATGGATCCACCTGAGTGTGAAAGTGTGACTGTCAGGTTAAACACACTTAGATAAAGGCACATGAGAGTCAGTCTTGTAGTAAGAAAGTGCTTACACAGTAAAAAAAAAAATGGCTGCCGGTCCATGTAAGACTTGATGTTGTACGAGGCTGCTGTTGTCATCATCCTGATGACAACATCTCTAAGGTTAAGCATTACATACCGCGAATGGATCTTGAAGAACTTATCCATGCCTTTGTTATTTCAAAATTAGACTACTGCAACTCCCTTTACCTGGGCCTCCAGTCCTCCCTTCTTCATAAACTACAACTTGTCCAAAATGCAGCGGCGCGCCTTTTAGCTGGTACTAGAAGGTTTGATTCTATTACCCCGATCCTTGCTGCCCATCAAAAATCGGACTGATTTTAAGATTTTATTGCTTACATTCAAAATCGTAAATAATATTGCTATTTAACTGAACTTCTCAGCCTGTCTACTCCTAGGAGAGCACTTTGATAATCAAGTCAAATGCTCTTGCTGCAACCTAGGTCATGGCTGAAACCCGGAGGTGATCGTTGTCAGGGTTATATTTTTGGGTTGTCATTTATACTTAGAAACATATAATACTGTTTGGTTTGGCAGTTGGGAAGCTCATCTGTAAATGGGAGGTTGCTCTCGCTATCCTGGTTGTTGTGTCCTTGGGCAAGACACTTCGCCTACCGCCTACTGGTGTTGGCCAGAGGGGCCAAAGGTGCGATATGGCAGCCTCGCTTCTGTCAGTCTGCCCCAGGGCAGCTGTGGCTACAACTGTAGCTGCCTCCACCAGTGTGTGAATGTGAGAGTGAATGAATAGTGGAATTGTAAAGTGCTTTGAGGGTCTTGAAAAGCGCTATATAAATGCAATCCATT